AATCCAGTTCTTTTTCGATTGCATGTGCTGAAAAACGGTCATGGTTGCATATATGATTATAGGTGAAGCACATGAAACTATGGTTATTCGAGTGTAGAGAACCGAGCCAGGAAGCGTTCAGGCTCGGTCTAGGTGCAGCCGCGATATTAGTAATGGCTCATGTTCTCATCAACTTGATCGGAGGGTGTCTTTGTATTTGCTCTCAAGACGAGTTTCAAAGATCTTCTTCCAGTAGACAAATCTCCATGGCTTGTCTCGTCCTCACTTGGTAACGTTACAATACAAATCTTTTGTTTTGGCATTAATAATTGTTGGTCCAAGAGAATGACACGTGGTGTATTTGCATTGGTTGATAATCACAGGATCGTATTCGCCGTTGGATTTGGGAGTATAGTGATTGGGACGATGTCGAACAGTAAGTCAAGATCTTCTTGTGGATTCACACATCATCATTTTCTCTCCATTGGAGGGATTTTGTGTTTTCTACATGCCCTCTTTTGTGTTGCTTATTACGTTTCTGCCACTGCGTCTAAAGACGAAGCTAAGTGACAAAGAGAGAGTCACGTTATGTGATTGGAACAAGGTGGGTCCTTTGCTCTTGACTATGGTAATTGTGTAACAATTTTTATATTAATGAATTATTATTTAGCATAGTACTTGAATTATTTTTTTCTTTCTTTTGAATTGTTTCACACTTTCACTTGCTTCGAAGTCTCTTTTGTGTAATTTTGGAAAATCGTGTCATTCTGAGAGAAAAATGAATGCTTTTATGTCACGCTCTGTTGTCGCATGTGGGGCTAAATTGCATTAGTGATAATGACCTTTAAATGGAATCTTGTCTTTGCTTCGGTTCTTGAAATTTATTTCAATATTCTGTTTCAGTCACACTTTCGTTATTTGTCACGGGTATTATAAATAACAATATTCAAAACTCGATTTCTATATATTTTAATTAGGATGAATTATTTACTTGTATACATGTTGTTTTCCTAAGCATTGTCTAGGACTTGTTTCTCAAGACTATGCTTTTCAAGAGAGACATTATACTCTCAAAGGGTCTAATACTCATGTCAGTCTCTTCAAGCCATGGAAATGGATCAATTGGTTCTGTTTCTTCTATAAACTTCTCCAATGATTCATCGCTTCTCGATCTTTCCAAAGGAAACAGCTCGTGATTGTACCTTTCAGGCTCTGGACAATACTCCTAAACCATGAAGCAAACACACAAAAATGTTAAAATGAATCTTGAAACAAAGACAAATATTACAAAAAGGCTTACTTGGTTTGCATGCATTCGTTTCAAGAATGTCTTAAACGTTGAGAAATTCGGTTCGCTGAGAAGTTTATCAGATAACCGGAGATATGTGAATCCAAACATCCTTGGTTTACCATCTTGATTAATCCCATTAGGCCTTGCGTTTAGTATAATCTGGTTATATCCATCTCTATCGAATCGTGGAAGCGCGTTTTCGCCCGCAACTTCAATCCCTTCTCTCCATCCACAGCTCAAAACCTTCAAAAATCAAACCACTCCCAAAATCAATCTAACATATATACAAAAGTGATCAATTTTGGCTTACTTGTTGAACAAGTTCTTGAGGTCCACTCTTAGCTTTTGCTGGCTGCTCTGTGTTCCTCATCTCTAGACAAGTGAAATTCAAGATAGCGTGGTGTCTACGCATTATTTTCGCAATCGCACGATACCCATCTCTGTTTTTCAAATTATAATAACCCGCGGTAAGTTCTGCAGCATGACTGTCAGATTTGTACCACCAGTGGATTCCAGAGACCTGAGAAAATCAAGAAACACACAATAAAAAAACCAGAAATCTTGATCATGTTTCTAATACATAGATAGCTCAACAAGATTTTGATTTACTTTTGCTGCTAACTTGAGTTTACACCCAAGAAACACTTTATTAGCTTCATCAAGAATCTGATCACCATGGAGAAGTAACTTCCTGGAGTACCATGACAAGAAGAAGTTTCCTTCTTCCGTAAGGTATGTCCCATTCGAGTACTCGAAAAATCCGGTTGCTTCTGGAATATCGTTGTATTTTCCCGCGTTTTCGGGAAGTTTCCATTCCGGATGCCCGATTCTTCTAACTTCTTCTTCATAATCCAATCTCAGGTACTTGTCATAACACTGTTGTATATGGAAGAATAAAAACTTAGAAACCTTTGTATTTTTTCTTCTCGAACCCTAGATTCCCAAATTTCTTACTTGAAATTCTCCGATTCCCGGGAAAACCCATCCTTGAGTCTCACTGTAAGAAGGGTATCTAAGCTCTCCAGCAGGACCAAGACCTACTTCAATGTCTATTATAACTCCAGAGCTAATGAAATCTTCCATGTTTTCTCTAAAGCTCTTCATGTAATCTCTGTACATCTAAAAAACAGAGCAAGATTATACAACTGAAGCAACTTTTGGAGGGTTTTTGATTTCAAGATCTTTTCATACCTCAACTGCTGTTCTTCCTTTGAAAAGAGACAAGTTATCAACAGAAAGAGACAAACATTCTTTGTTTCTATTACCACTCTTGTTCGTATAGAAAATATCCGGATTCGAATCCCCGATTTCGATCACCCATTTCGGTATCGGGATGTTAACATCATCACCTATGTTGCCTCCGCATCGATGAAACGACATTATAGCTTGTAGTTTTAGTCCATAGCTTTGTACAATCTCAAACAAATCTCTGTAAGCACTCCAATTGTATTGCTTTGGACCATTTGATTCCACAATTCCCCACCATACATCAACCATTACTCCATCTACTTGACTCTGTTTCAGTTTCTTGAGCTGTTTCTTGATCTTGTCTTTGTTTGAAAGAACGTTATCGTTTGTTATGACTCCAAGTTGAAGCATGACGTATACAGGAACATAGTTGTTCAACATTTTGTCGTCATACCTCGTCGTCGTATTAGTCTCTCTCGCCTGTTATTTACATGATCGAAGATTCAAAACCAGAGAGCTATCTAGAAAAAATGGAGAAAGATTCTTGTCATCACTACACTAACCTCTGTTTCTGTTTTAGTAGCAGTGGCTTGAATCGTTCTTAAAGATCCTTGCTTGATTGAGAATCTCCATTGGAGTTGGTGTGTGCTTTCTTCACCTCTTAAGAAAATCGAAGATCCTTTGTGGAGATTTTTTCCGGTGATGAGATTAGGGTTCATCATCCTCAATACGCTTGTCATGGAACCTTGTGCTTTAAGAAACTATTAAAAAAAAAATCAAGCTTTACTGGTTCATGGAAGACCATTTTATTGTTCTCTCTTTTTTCAATTTTTGTTTATTCCGTGATCATAAATTTGCTAATATTCTAACTCGTTCGTATGTTATCAACAAAACGTGGTCATGAATTTTCTTGCGTATAAATTGTCTTTTTGTTCAGTCACGTTTCTTTTCCTGCTTTTGTAATTTTCCGGAAAACAGAGGAATGAATGAGAATGACCATTGATATTCGTATTATGCTTAGTGTTTAATCATATTAAAATATATCAATGTTTTCAAACCCGGACCGGTTAAACCACCATCCGGCTAGAAACCGGACTCGGTAAAACCCGGAAATAACCGGTTTAAACTTGGCCATTGCTATATGAAAATCCATCACAAAAGAACTGAACATAAGTCATCCCAAACTAGCTCTGTTACAAAAATATTAGAACTGAACATAATAAGCTTCACGTTCTATACATGATCTAGAAAGGTGTAAACTTCATTACCCTTAAAAGGTTCCATTCCTTGGATTTCAACTCTTCTGACCGTGTTTCTCTCAGTTTTGTAATAGAAAACATAGAAAGGCACAATTTCATTACCGTATTGTTTGTTCGGCGACAACACAATTTCATTAGAACTGCGAGTCACTCCAACAAAGTGTAAGGAGATGTTTCCCACTAAGTTCTTCCATAAAGCGGGAAATACGTAAGTATGCTCCGACCATTCCTGCTTTTCGGCATCCTCTAGAACCCACAACTTAAAACTTGTATCGCTTCCATAAACATCTCCACGCATGTGAGACACAATTACACCCAATTTACCATTGTAGTTTACTAAAAATCCCTTTACCATTAGAAGAATGATGTAGTACACAACATTTGATCCTTCTCCATGAAATGTTTCCAGTTCCTAATGTCAGAATTTGATGCTCCTCAAAAATCTTGGATCTTCCATAAGTCGAAAATGTCATTGACAATACCTTGTACTGTTTCTCAACCGGATCATAACAAAAATATCAACTCACCTCAAGCCTTATCGTCTTTACTTTGGGTAAGGTTAAGGATTGCCCGGTGCTAGGGTTACATACTACAAGCGCCGTTCCAGCCTTCCTCTTTATGATCGGCTTATCTATAAAACAGACTAAGCCACCACAATGAGAGTATTGAACATCAAACGGAGACTTCATATGATAATTGGCGACAACATGAGACAAGTTTTCATCCGGATTTTGAGGCTGAGGTGACGAGAAGAATAACACCTCGCAAATTTTCTTGCACATGAACAAGAGATGTGGTCGAGCTGAAGATCTTGTCAAGAACAATTCCGTGAAGTATTAGAGGGGAATTAAGGAAGACTAAAGCTTCGATACGCAACGAAACCTTGTTACTGATTTCGCCGGCAATCTCGCGAATATCTCCATAATAAGATCGATTGGAATCGGATCTGTGTATTCTATTCGATTCATTGAAGTCTTCGATCGCGTATTGCGGCGAGTGATGGTAAGATCATGATCCTCGGAGACGTTTCGCCGCCGTGTTTTCATGGTGGAGTTAAAACCCTAGAGAAGAGAGTCCTTGCCACGTCAACTCCCATTTTAGGGTTAAGAATATAAAGAGTAGATTGTGACATAATGGGCTAAGAGGAAGCCCATGTAGCGGAAAAAAATAATGGCCATCGACTCAGTTCCTACGTAAGTAACTGGGTTATTGGTTCTTCTATTTTAATAGATTTGGAAATTT